TAGTCCGTTTCGGGTCGTACTAATAGTCATTAGTAGTGGTTTAGTTTGTCTACTATATATATATATATATATATATAGTGTGAGCTGCATTGATTGGCATTTCCATTGAGTGTCTATTTGTCACATATAACATGTGTAATACCAATTGACTTGTGCTGAGTGTGTGGTTTTCATTGGGTTGTGTTTTAATATGAGTGTAAGTAGCACTTGCTATTCCAGATTGTGTAGCTGGGCGATGGTATTGAAGCGAAGCCTATATACGATCGAGGGGCAAACTATTATATGTGTGAGCGTGCACACACACACGCACGCACACATTCACAAATACACACACGCACACACACACATATATATATATAAATAATATATATAATAAACAATACATACACATACATATAAATAAACGTAACACACACACCACACACACACACATATATATATATTCATATTCATATTCATATTCATATTCATATTCATATTCATATACATATACATATACATATTATAACATATGCAAGTTATGCGCTAAGGTATCTGTCGATCATTGATATTATTTTATATATGGGCACACCCCAAATCCACAGAAATCGACGAATCTATATAATACACCGACCCCTATCTACTGTGTCTGCCTGTGCTTACAGAGAGCTCAAATTCGTACGTGTACACTTCACGCACAGAAGCACACGCCGTACTTTGCGAGTGCATAAAAATAAGTGCAAGAGCCGCTAAACGCATGGCTTGCTATCTACGCGCACATGGCCACATGCATGTCTGAAACGAACATGCAGCCTATGTGCATCTGCTGCTGTCGACCAGTTGTAAACTATCTTTAAATTATAATCCCGAAGACCCACCTTTAGGCCTTCAAGGTCACACACTCTGGCCACAAAGATATACTTATTATTACGACAGGCTACAACTGTTTTGGGCCATGCACACATCTGAATCGGAGCTCTGACGATTGCTCCAATCAACTTGGTTTTATTGGGACTCCAGGCCAACCCATTAGCCAGGCGGGTGGATATGTTACATATACGTTACATGTGATGTTCCATTCCACTTTAGTACTTAGGTCCTTACTATTCACCGGGATTGCTGTGTATGTATGCTGGACACCCGGCCTACTTACCAACCAAGCTCGTTGATATGTTAAACATATCGCGCTGTATCCCATTTTTGGTATCCGAAACCTTACGTTTGTTACCCAATTTTCCATGTGCAAATAGGAGACCTGGCCCACATTCCAACCGCGTGAGCTGATGTGTCTGGTACCCGTAGACGAATTGGAGTCGTTCTCGCCTATCATGGACTGCGAAATAGCTAAGCTTGAAGGCGCCGATTCCGACACGCCCAAGTTCTTTGCAGGTATGGGGATGTCGCGGTGCTCACCTTGTTAGCCGTTGAATACTATTGCGTCTGCGGGATGGAAGTATCACCCCAAGCTCCGCGTATGTGTTGTATGGTAGACTCGCATGTCCGTGCGTAACGATGAGGTGGATGAGCCCAAATACTATGGGAGTGTGTGGCTGTAGGTCAGGTTTAGTTTTTATCAGTCCCTGATAGATTTACAAGTAATCGATCCTTGGGTTACCCTGCGGCAGAATGTGTATGGGCGAGGAATGTCGGTATTACCATACGTACACACAAACGTACTCTCACGTAATGTATTTGCCACGTCCACTAGGTCATACCTGCGTGTATCTTTATGTCTACAATTATATATTGATAAATATGCATACACAACATTATATCGTTATATAGTTTCGTACACAGTCAGTCGCTGGACGCGGTTCTGTTAACACTACGGCAAGTCCAGCACGGGTCGGAGGAGATTGAAACGGTTTCAGAACGACTTAATAAAAAAAAGAACCCCATACTAACACGCATGCAAACACATATTCTGGCTCACATCTATTGATATCTGTCCTAACACATACATCCAATATGCAACAGTATACACGGTGCTAACACCTAGGGATATCTGTACCTACACCCACACATACATGCAGCGTGCGGACGAGGGTCTAGGTCAACTCTTCGGCAGTTCAGGCACGGGCTGGAGGTGACTGAAATGGCCGTCAGTGAATTGCCGGGCAATCCCAATGCCGTGTGGACTGTCAAGCGCAACAGGAACGACGAATACGACTCGTATATCGTTGTGTCCTTCAACAATGCTACGCTGGTAGGTGGGGTTTGCCGTGACTTGCATAAATAAGGCTGATTGTACGTGTGTGTTGATGCACATACGGTATTGGTTGTGTACATTTTTACAGACGGTATGGATTGTATATATTTACACATACGATACTGATTGTATATTGCTGTGGTAACCGATGAGTATATTCTCTATTCTCGTTCTGCCGCTTCATATATATATATGTTTGTTTAGACACTTGCAGGCAAAAAAAAATATCTGGATATATACACTCTTAGAAGGACTGAGGTGTACACATGGTCCATGTAACCTTACTATACAGTTCTCCTTATGAAATTCTTCGGTCGCTATGACACACCTGATATAGTTCAAATACTAATCCTCTAATGACTGTAATTTGCGTGAAGAAACCGCATGTAAACGAGTCAGTTCGCACACGCCTCTAGTCATTCTGCAGTGCATTCTCTCGGATTAGTGTTATGTGTGTCATCTGTCTATATCACATGCATACAATGTGAACAATGCCCTCGCTTTACCTTTGCAGACGCTCACGAGTGCTTTCTATCGGCGACAAGGTACGGCTGGCAGTACCCAGTGAATTCCTTTAACCAGTCTCACTATGCATTTACCAGTACTTGGTACTATTTACCGGTACTTGGTACTATGTACCAGTACTTAGTGGTACTTGTGTACAGAGCAGTTGGACTGGTAACAGGCGGTTCACTTGTCCTCATAGCTTACCCCTATGTCCTCACCGTACGCTCCCAGGTGCTTTCTATCGGCGACACAGTCGAGGAAGTGGTCGACAGTGGGTTCTTAGGCACCAGCCCTACCGTGTACGCGTCTGGATTGGGCGATGACTCATTGCTGCATGTGCATCCAGATGGTATCCGCCATATCAGGGCAGACAAGCGTATCAACGAGTGGAAGTGTCCCGGGCGTGCGACCATCACACGCGCGGCTGTAAATATCCGGCAGGTGTGTCTGTGGATACACATGCAATGTATACGTGGTAGTAGAAGGCTATGCATGCAATGTATACGTGGTAGTAGAAGGCTATGCATGCAATGTATACGTGGTAGTAGAAGGCTATACATGCAATGTATACGTGGTAGTAGAAGGCTATACATGCAATGTATACGTGGTAGTAGAAGGCTATACATGCAATATCCATGTGTTACTAATAAAACTATATATATATATATATTGAGGGTCTGGGTTAAATATACCCACAATTAGATCAATGCTCATACCTTCCTGTAGTCCGTGACCTCGTTATTTTTACGCATGCGTATTAACTTACCCATATACACAATCGGTTTTCTAAACACTCACATTCGCTCGCTCACATACATCTCATAGGTGGTTATATCCCTATCAAACCAAGAGCTAGTATACTTTGAGCTGGATGCAGCAGGACAGCTGAACGAATACACCGAGCGTATGCCTATGGACAGCGATGTGCAGAGCATAGCTATTGGTGAAGTACCAGATGGGCGTCAGCGGTGTCGCTTTGTGGCGGTGGGGCTTGCAGACAGGTCTGTGCGGATAGTCTCATTGGATCCCGAGGATTGCCTTACCCAATTGAGTATACAGGTAGGCTTGTGTGATGTGTGTTGAGGCAACATGGTGTATTTGCATGAATTTGTGTGTATATGCAGATATGCATACCTATAAATATTGTATGAGATCGTTGGAAGGGTGCTATAAGGATGGCTGGGAGTTGTAGTGAGGTCTGTTCGAGAAAGCTACATGCTTCTTGGAGGTTGTCTTGCGCAATAAAGTATACAAGAACATAAGTGCGCCGGGAAAAGTGAGATTGTGCGTCCTCCCCCGTAGTTTCATGCATGTGGGTGTAGTTACATGCACATGGGTGTATATGCATGTATATAGGTGTATGTGCATGTGGGTGGGTATATATATATATATGTGGATGTGTATGTATGCATGTGGGTGTAATTGCATGCATGTGGGTGTATATGCATGCATGTTGGTGTATATGTATACATGTGGGTAAATATGCATGCCTGTGGGTGTATATGGATACCTGTTGGTGTAAATGTATGCATGTGGATGTATACGCATGTATATGGGTGTATATGTATATATGTGGATGTATATGTATGCATGTGGGTGTATTTGCATGCATGTGGGTGTATATGCATGCATGTTGGTGTATATGTATGCATGTGGGTATATATGCATGTCTGTGGGTGTATGTGCATGTATGTGGGTTTATATGGATATCTGTAGGCGTATATGTATACATGTGGGTGTATAGGCGTACATGTGGGGGTATATGTATGCATGTGGGTGTATTTGTATGCATGTCGGTGTAAATCTATGCATGTAGATGCAGTTGCAAGCATGTGATTATATGTATACATCTGAGTGTAGATGTAGTTGCATGCGTGTGATTGTACATGTGTGCATGTGGGTGTATATGTATGCATGTGGGTGTATATGCATACCTGTGGGGGTAGTTGTATGTACGTGGGTGTAGTTGCATACATGTGTGTCTATGGATGCATGTGAGTGTATATGCATGCAAGTTTACCTTCGATATGTGTACAGCGTCGTTGCTTATAGTCTGCAGTTTATGACATTGGGACTGTTAGACATGGGTTTGCGGATAGATATAGAGGACTGCCTCACACACTGATGTTTACTATTTGTGTCCTGTGTGTACTGTTTGTTTGTGATATCTTTTATATTTTGGGATATGCATGTGGCTTCAGCTCTTCGCATGTGCGTGTATGCATGTTTTCTAAGTTCCCGTACAAACGACCACCTGGGAATGAGACAGATAAACAAATATCTTTGTGATGGTATTCGTGAACCGTCCTCAAACAGCACAGACGAGGTACAACCGTGTATGCGAGTGCCACGTGTAGTCGATCACGCACAGGTCCTTCCAGTCACACTTGTGTCTGAATATATAGTGGGTGTGCACAAAACTGAATATGAATCTATATACACATGTGTACTCAACAAACAGTGTGTGTACTCTATCTTAGTATGTACACATACTACCCCCTATTGTGCTCAATAAATAGTGTGTATTTCATCTCAACAAGAACACAATCTAACCTCTCTCGTACACTTGCGTAGGTGCTGCCCGTGACACCGTCGTCTCTGTGCATGGTGGCCATGGAGGACGGGTCTGACTCTGGCGACACCAGTACACTGTACTTGAACATCGGTCTAACGAACGGTGTGATGATGCGTACCGTTATTGATCCAATAACGGGACAGATTTCTGACAATCGACTGAGGTATCTGGGGTCAAAAGAGGTCAAGATGTTCAGGGTGAAGACCCAGGGGAAGGATGCCGTCTTGTCCCTGTCCAGTAGGAATTGGTTGAGTTACCCTTATCAAGGTGTGTGTGCGTGTGCGTGTGGCTGATGGGGACCTGCCATGTTATTGCGCGTATGTACACCCACTCGTACATTTTGTACTGGTTGACATTGTAACTATATCAGATTGTTCGTTATCTGTGATTGTAGTGTTGAACACAAGACATACATACGCCTGAAGCATCTTTCTTATATAGACATATATATATATATAGTATATATATACATATACATATATATATATATATATATATTTATATATATGTGTGTGTGTGTGTATTTCCACGCACGGATGAAAATCCGACTTCGCATAGATGTTTGCATGCCTACTCTGTATATTATCTCTATCCTTATTCCAATATGTACTGCCTTTCATCCCATCCCCCACAGGCCGTCTCATCCAGACACCTCTGACATACGAAGCATTAGAGCACGCGACCTCATTCACCTCCGAGCAATGTCCCGAGGGTATAGTCGCTATAGCGGGCAACACACTCAGAATCATTGCCACGGAGAAACTGGGCGCTGTTTTTAATCAACAAGCAGCACAGCTGTCGTACACACCCAGGAAACTGTGTGTGCACAGGCAGAGTAACACTGTGTTGGTGATAGAGACTGACCACAACTGCCTGACGCAGAGCGCGAAGGAAAAGGCTAAGGCGCAAATAAACGGTATGCGGCGTTTCGTGCGTGCGGGATGAGTTTTATATCGCATACATATGTTGTACTTGTATGTATTGTACGTAGTTGCGGAGCGTGCATATGTACGTAAGTATTTGTGTTGATTGTATGAATGACCGGGGTTGAAGAGATCGAACAACCAAATGATTCTAAAATAAGCCCATGAACCTGACTACGCGTGCTTGTAGGTGGTATGGAAGTAGACGGCGAGGCCGAGGAAGATTTGCCTGCGGATATATTTGGAGAACCCAGACCAGGTGCCGGTATATGGGCATCTATGCTAAGAGCCGTTGATGCTGAAACGGTATGTATTTGATAGCTAGCCTTGTCTGTGAAGTAAAAAGACAACAAGTTTACTGTTTCATGTGTTGGTTTTCTGGCATTGTCTGTGCAAAATAAAACCAAGTTTACACTTCCGGCGAGGCTTGCGATTCTGCTACTGGATGCCTGTCCGTCAGCTGTAGCTAGATATATCGGGGCTTCCATCTCGATACTAATGTATTTGCGTAGTGCCAACTGTTTGTTTTCGTGGTACATCATCACATCCGTTGTCAAGCAGTTTCTCTACCAAGCATGCCTCGTTCATGCACGCATGTCTAGCCATCGACTAGGGACTACGGCGCATGGCGTGCCAGTGCTAAGCCCAAGTACACCCGTCCCTGTCTCTATTGCACCCGCAGAATGAAACGGTTGCTACGCATCTGTTCGACGATAACGAGAGTGCCGTGAGCATGGTCACCGCCACCTTTCACGACAGGGGCGACGACGTCTATGTACTGGTGGGCACCGCCGTCAACCTCAAGCTCGCGTAAGTGTCTGTGGTATACGGCAGAGATGCACGTGCACGTGTAACAAAGCATCTAGAAGTACGTTGTCATTTCACTTACACGCATGTTGGCATGGGAGTAGTAAGTAGCGTCTTGTGGCAGCTGTTCAGTATAGAGACTGGTTTCACCGACAGGTATGCAATTGTATGTCTGCGAAGCGCTCGTTGGTCTGTGCAGTGCCGTACGTGCGTTGTAGCGTCACGTGGGTTGTAGTGTCACGTGTGTGGCAAGTGTATGTCTGTGTATCCAGCTATTTTGCTGCATCGGATGTTTGACAGCCCTTTTTTTTTTTGACTGGACCAGATAGGTATCCCACACTGTAAGGAAACCGTTCGGGAATACGTTAAGTGTCAAAAGAGCAGCAACGCACGGTCCCGAATAGATTGTCATACACTGTATGCGTTTTACTAGCAGACAGCTAAAGGAATGTCCGGTACTGCCAATCCATGTGGGCTAGCAGTGTGTTTGCCTGACGCTAGTCACCGCCGACGAAACTTGCCAACCCATTCGCATTCGATTGTTTGTATTGGCTTACCCATTTCGGTACACTCCCACACAGACCCCGATCGTGCGACGCTGCGTTTATATACTCATTCAAGATCGACAGTGCGACTAAACAGTTCGTTCTACTTCATAAGGTATCGTCGGCACTGTTGACCTGTTGTTACTGTTGGCTGTTGTGTGTACTGATGTGACTTTCGTAGTTATGCCTGGTAGTTCGCTGTGTACGAAGTACCGGTACCAGCAACCATATGGAAGTGAATACAAGTTGTGGAGAAGCAAAACATCGTGCGGTACAAGGAGTTTCAAGTGCGGTGGTTTAATCGAGCGTAAAGTACAGTTGCTGTCGCATCTCTGGCATACACGCATCTGGGAAGGTACGTTCTTCTCTTCAGTATATTGTAACTTGCTACCAAGAAACCCATATACATTTGCTTGTGGGAGGCGCCTGATGTAATAGTCTGTTGCTGCATGCATCTAGATTGGTATCCCTGTTCTGCGTTCCGTGTATCACACACACACCTGTGCACACACACCTGTGCACGCACACAAGCGTATATGTGCACTATGATATGTTTATTCTCGTAATGCACACACACGCATGCTCTGCTTTAAATCCTTTTCGTTTGTCAAGTAGACACAGACAACAAGAACCACATCTGTGCAGACCCCATGTAGACGCCACTGAACATTACTTTGATAGCTGGTTACCTACAAACCAAAGACGTGTCGAATAGGTTGGCAAGAGCATACGTGGGTTATACTAGTTTTCATTTCAGCGACTATTTGCCTTTGTTGTCCCGGTGATGTCCTGACTATTCGTTTCCTGTACTCTCTCCGTGTGTCATTAACGTTAAGTTATTTTGTACTGGTCTGGTCCGTACACGTAGCTGCGCACGGAATAGCTTTAAACATTTTGCACCACACAATCGAAAACGTGGTTTCTTTTATCGCCTTCCCAGAGCATCAATATCCAAGAAAATAAGGAAAAACACGCACAAACCTGACACTTTTCACACATTTGCGCTGTGAATATGGTACAAACACACACACGCATTGGATCCACGCGCGTATCAAACTCTACACTTGCCCATTCCCTATCGCCGTATGGTAGCACACACACATTACATACACTCGGGCATATATCTTATACACACCCATTCACTTATACAGTATGATTTAAACCCTAAACCATAAATTCTAAGACCCTAAATTCTAAAACTCTAAAACCCTTAACATAGAGCAATCGGATATACTTGCCGCATATACGTATATTCACCAATCTTTACGTTTTATTTTATCGTCTCACATTCACACAGACGGCTCTTGACGATGTTCCGGGGGCGATGTGTGCGTTCCAGGGACGCGTGCTGGTCAGTGTGGGCCGTTTGTTACGTATATACGATATGGGGAAGCGAAAACTGCTGCGCAAATGCGAGAATAAGGTATGTACGGAGTCATCAATCCCATATGAAATGCCAATCAACATAGATTATCATATTGCTTGATATGATTCCATTACCCAATTCGTCGGTAGTTTCAAGGTGCGCACTCTTTGGATGTAGAAATATCTGGCGTGTGTGGCGCAAGTCTCCCACGTACGATATCCTTCTATTTTTATAGTATCATCCACCTTCAACATACACTGCACTCATTCGTTACCTTGGTAACATGCCTTTTGTAAGTACACTCAACAATTCAGTTTCTCTTTTTAACCCGTGCTGCACGTTTCTGATGGAAAGTGAAGTCAAATCGTTGTTGTTACGGATCAGTCCTTACCTACTGTTTTAGGGTTCATGGGTTATACTGGTAGCGCTATCTACCAGGCGCATCGTATTTGTCTCTATGACTACTTACATGCACGTACTTGCTGTCTGCTTGGATGCGCCTTACACACCATGTGCACATAATGCCACCTTCTTAGTTCCTCGTACTAATAAGTGACAAGCAAATATATCAGTGACTGCCATAATGGTGAGTGTGTGGGGTTGGCTGTGAGCTCTAGTTGCGCCTCTCTATTTCAACTTCGGCTTAGCTATTGGTGTCCATGTGATCGTCTTGCTGCCAACTACTACTAACCCCTATCAATTTCCTTTCCCCGTTCCCACGCAGCACGTGCCAAATAACATAGTGAGTGTCATGGCGCTGGGCTCACGCATCTACGTAAGCGATGTGCAGGAATCATGGCATTTCCTCAAGTATAAGTCGGACCAGAACTTCATGGTCATCTTCGCAGACGATACCCTCCCCCGGTGGGTGACCACCGGCTGTGTTTTAGACTACGATACTATATGCGGGTAAGGTTGCTTGACTGCGCATGCACGTGTGTCTATCGGTAGTCTTCCGAGCGAGATATCGGATATACATGCACGGGTACGGCTTTGTGGAGGGTAGATATAACAGTGGGTGTACGGGGGATTTGGCACTGTCTCACATGGCGATTCGTCTACTTCCCGTCCGGTTGCCACTGACTGGGTGTTAAACCCCAAGTCCGAATTTGGATAGGGCAGGTGCATCTGTGAGGTGTGAACCGTTGAACGATATCGTGGGCCTAGACTGATACGCTCTTTTCAACTCGTACGTTCTCCGTGCTAGGACGGTTAACACTTGACGTACGCTTTTGTGTCATTCCATGCACACCTATCGTTCTAGTTCACGCCATTCTAACTCTGGCCGACTCCGCTATCCAGAGGTGCATGTTGGTTCAATATATGGTGAGTAAATAGTACACTGGGCTTACATGGGTTGATGGTGTTCGTACCCCCATACTCCCCCATTGCTCTTCATTACTCCACATTCACTCCTGTCCACTCATGTCCACTCTCTCACACCAGGGCTGATAAATTTGGCAATGTGTATCTCCTGCGACTGCCGTCGGGTGCGGTGGATGATATTGATGACGATCCATCGGGCACTAAAGTCATCTGGCAGCGTGGGTTGCTAGGAGGCGCTCCACAGAAGGTGAGTGACACCAGGCCACCGACATGTGCTAATGAACGGCTCAGAGCTATCTGTACTACTATAAGCTAACCCCATGTATCTAACATACTTGCATTCTAGATTAGATATCTGCTTCTTGTGTGCAGTTTTAGTAGAAGCAGCACATATCGACAAACCTCAACTCTAAATTTAGTTTAACAATAAGACTTAACTTTAAATATTAGATTATTAAGTAATTTGAACTCCCGATCTTAGATTGCTCCCAAATCCTTCGTCATCGTAACTCCATATCTGAGATTATTAAGTGCTTTAAACTCCCGAATCTTTAAGATTATTTAGTAGTCTTACCCCCAAATTATAGATTATCTTAACTCCAAGCCCGAGATTTATTTAGGAGTCTTACCCCCAAATCATAGTTGATCTTACCTCCCAAGGCTGAGATTGTTTAGTCTTATCCCCAAATCATGGATTATCGTACCTCCAAATCAGATTTTTTAGTAGTTTGAACTCACAATCTTAGCCTTACCCCCAAATCATAGATTATGCAGTAGTCTTGCCGCCATTTCGTTGCTATCAAGTACCAGTGGTAAAACCAAAACTTGGTTTATCGCTTATGTATCAGGTCTAAATTGTAGGTACTTACCGATACTTAAACTCCCAATCACAGGTTGAATGTGTGGCGCAATTCTATATCGGAGAGACAATCAAGACGCTCCAGAAGTGCGATTTGGTGGCCGACGGACACGAGTGTGTGGTATACACAACGCTGTCAGGGGGTATGGGTATACTTGCGCCATTCCAGAGCAAAGAGGATCTCGAGTTCTTCCAACACATGGAGATGTACATGCAGCAGAACATGCCGCCGTTGTGTGGCAGGGACCACTTGTCATTCAGATCATACTATCAGCCCAAGAAGGTTTGTAGAATTGTCTACACACATACACACACATACATACACACGCATATATATATATATATATATATATATATATATATATGTATGTATATGTATGTATGTATGTATGTATGTAGTATGTATGTATGTACGTA